ATAAATAAAATATTGAGTGCGTAGATCACATAAAATTTATTGGCTATGATAAAAAATGTAATTCCATCAAAAAAATTTTTTTATTAATATATATATTTATAGAAAAAATGCCAAAGGGTAGTAAATCTCGAAGCGTTGAACAGCAACAGAGTGAAGATGATTTTTCTATAAAACCTTTAAAACATACTCCCTCACTTGACACTTCAGAATGGCCGTTATTATTAAAAGTTGGTAGAAAATTAATAAAAGCTTATTTAAATAAAAAATAGTAAAATTTGAATATTAAAATTTACATAATTAACTAAATTTATGTTAGAATTATGATAAACTTCATGTGAGAACGGGACATTACACACCTTTTACTCAGGGTTGTTCGCCTCTTAAGCGTGAAATTAACGAATATATAAGGTCTTGATTCCGGGGGGTTTTGATTTTTAGAAAATTAATGTTTTTAAAATTAAAATTTTTAAAAATATATGTTTACATATATTTATTTATTTATTGATATAAACACAGATATGGTATAATTAATCTTGATAAGCCTGCTAATCCATCTTCTCACGAAGTTGTTGCATGGGTTCGCCGCATACTTGAAGTTGAAAAAACTGGTCACAGTGGTACATTGGATCCAAAAGTTACCGGCTGTTTGATTGTTTGTATTGATCGAGCCACACGCTTAGTTAAATCTCAACAAAGTGCAGGTACCTTGACACATTATCTATATAACATCTATTAATTAAAACATTTAATTTTTTTGGAAAAATTTATTTTTAAAAAATTTTTTCATTTACCATTATTGGAAAGGAAAGGAATATGTGTGTGTAATCAGATTTCACGATGCTCTAGAATCATACAAGAAATTTTCACAAGCGTTAGAAACTCTCACCGGAGCTCTATTCCAACGTCCCCCACTTATATCTGCTGTAAAGCGTCAACTTCGTATTCGTACAGTTCACGAGACTAAGCTAATAGAATTTGATAACAATAGACATTTGGGTGTTTTTTGGGTTAGTTGTGAGGCTGGGACATATATTCGTACTTTATGTGTACATATGGGATTATTACTTGGAGTTGGTGCTCATATGCAAGAATTAAGGCGTGTTCGATCTGGTGCCCTAACAGAAAATGTAGGATTGATAAATATACCATTATTGTTATTACTATTATTATTTGTTTTTTTTTTTTAAAAAAAAATTTATATTGATTAATTGATAGGATGATATTGTTACTATGCATGATGTAATGGATGCTAAATGGTTATACAAAAATACAAAAGATGGTATTATTATTATTACATGTGTGATTATTTACTATATTATTCCAATATATACATAATAATAATAATAAGATTATTATTGGTGTTTTATTATTCTATTATTTATTAGAATCATACCTTCGAAGAGTTATAAGACCTCTTGAATCTTTACTTACAACTTATAAACGTATAATAGTTAAAGATAGTACAGTGAATGCTATATGTTATGGAGCTAAATTAATGGTTCCAGGTTTACTTCGTTACGAAGAGGGTATTGAACTTAATGAAGAAGTGGTTATAATGACTACAAAAGGTGAAGCTATTGCATTGGGCATTGCATTAATGACAACAGCCGTGATGGGAACTGTGGATCACGGTATAGTTACAATTTTCTTGTTTTTTATTTATAATTATAATTGAAAATTTTTTTTAAAAATTGAAAATTTAAATCTATAATATATTTAGGCGTTGTTGCCAAAATTAAAAGAGTAATCATGGAACGTGACACATACCCAAGAGCTTGGGGACTAGGAAATAAAGTATTTTTTTTAATTTCGTTTTACTCATAACATTATTATAAAAACAGAACTTTACTTTTCTCTCTGCTTTAATTATATATGTAAAAGGCCAAGGAAAAGAAAAGATTGATTTCTGAAGGAAAATTGGATAAATTTGGTCGTGTTAATGAGAAAACGCCAACAGACTGGAGTAAATCATTTGTTGATTTAAGTGATGTTGGTACCAGGAATGACCCTGATTCAAAGTTACAAACTCAATTAATATCCACGATACCAACAGCATCCACATCCAAGTCAGCATCTACTCTTATAGAAGAAATTAAAACAAAAAATAAAACTGATGACGATGAATTAGTAGAAACTGAACTTAAGAAAGTGAGTTTATTTGTTTAATCGGTTTTTGGGGGAAGAGCAATGAATTAATAAACTAAACACATTTTTTGAATGTTATTTAGAGAAAAATAGACGATGCTTCTTCAGATGATGAAAAAGACGAGGAACCCAAGAAAAAATCACATAAAAAAGATAAAAAGAAAAAGAAAGCAAAGGAATAGTTTTTCAATCAATAAAGAATTTATTAATTTATTAATTGTTGGTAATATCAAAAATAAAAGGTTTATAAATAATAAATTAATAGTCTGTAGCTTCATATATTTGTAATTAATACCAAAAATTTTATAAACTTCTAAACAATTACTTGTTACTTTTTAAGACAATTAAAATCTTTAAACTTTTAGCACCGTTTAACACAAAATATAATCCATTCGATGTGATTTCAATTAACTGCTGAACTGATTCACTTTTACAATTTTGTCAAATTAGTTTAAACAATTTTTCCAAATTTTCATTATCCTTGGAATTACAAAAACGAAATTATTTTTTATTAAATTTAATATATAACCTAACATGTCCAATAAATAAAACTTATTAAAAATATCAAATCTATAAACTTCAAGATTTGGAAATAAAGCAGTAGATTTGCATTTATATGATGTTATAAATTGAATATATCCATCGAGTGATTTTTCTTTATCTGAGTTATGATCAATTTTACGATAAGTTCCTCCAACGAATATAAACGAGCCTCTGACTGTTTTTACACAGAACTATGCATTAGTTCGAATTTGCTTTCGATCTTTCTATCCATTTAGGAAACCTCCTGCTGAATGACTTTTCTAAATCCAAATAAAAGACATCGCTGCCCATCGAATAGTCATCCTTGTAACCATCAAAAAAAAAAAATCATAACTTAATAATAAAGACTTTAAATTTTGAAAATTTGGTGTCATAGAAATCAAATCATTATTTTTAAATCTTCATCCATCATAAATTAATTGTTGATTTTAAATGCTTTGATGCCGCGTTTTTGATAAAACTAAATTGTTACTTGAATAATTATCTATTTTATTAACCATAACTTTTTATTCATTAATCTAATTAATTATTGGTTGATGTGCCATTGCTGAATGCTGTAGCTGCATTTGGTGTTGATCAGTGTTGTTCATAATATATATCTATGTTGTATCTCGTTCTTAAATTCTTCAGCCCAGTTTTCAATCTATCACTATTATTCAGACTATCCTATTATTCATACATGTATGTTTACAAGTATATGTGAATATATGTACGCGTATATATTTTTGTGTTAAATATATACATTAAAGATGTGTGTGATATAACTCTCATTAACAGTTATTTCATCCGTTAATTTTCTATATATTATTTAATTCATTTAATTCTATTTCCCCCTTCTCTTAATATCCATTTTTCATGATGCAGATATGAGTAAGAGTGATGTATGAATTATTACTAATAAGTAAATTTCTTTGCTACTTCTTCCTTATTAAAAAACATGTCCCATTTCCTAAACCCCAATAACAAAATGCTAATAACATGCCATTGACATTAATTGACAAATGTTTTACAATTTTGCATTGTCTATTTTTTCAGGTTTATAATTTGTTGAAGTATCAATGCACCATAAATTATTTGAAGTATATAATATATACATATGAAGCAAGAAAGCTAAGACTCTCTTCTTAACGATTTTCATTATCTGCTTCTCTATTTATTATTAATTATTAATTTGTCTATTTATCTCTATAGTTTTATCCACAAACTCTAGTCAACTTTTACAATTTTTGATTGTATTTAATTAATTATTACTTTAAATAACTCATTTATTTTTATGTTTGATTGTATTGCAATAAATAATAAATAAACATTATTTGTTACTAGACTATTTATTAAGCAGTAAAATTTTTCTTAACCCAAAATTCCAACCAATTTCTTCAATTTTCATGATAGCAGCTATTTGTTCACTGTCACATTATTTGTTTGATCTAGTAAATCCATCATGAGTTCCAGAAAGGTTGTTTCTCATCTTTTGTGAATTCATTCCACAACTTTGATTGAGATTTTGACAGGACCGTCTGATTGTTGTAATCGGGGAAGGATGATCATCAAGAATTTAATAAAATTACTTGAAAAGTTTTTATTTATTTCTTTATCAACTACTATTATATAAAGTTGAATTTCTCCATAAAAATTGTTTGGAGTAGTTTGATTAAATCTTATTAGTGGAATGGTATCTTTTAAATGATTTTTCAATTATTTCACTGAAATATTTTTTTCTTGAACTGCCCATTAAAATAGATAGGCCTTTCTTGGAATGTCAACTTTAATTTCTACATCGTAATAATAACTAGTTTATTGAATAATTTACAGGTTTGTTGTGATGTTTTTTAATGGTAAAGACCTTCCTCAATGCCAAAGCATTCATCAATTTGAGTTTTGAAAAAATTTTATCATTTATTTGATTTCATTACACGATTATCAATAATTACCACAGTAAAAACCAGTTGGTTATATGAAAAGATTTTTTGCAAATGTGATCTATTTTCAACGCTTATTTTATAAATGACTATTTTGCAATAAAGGATGCTAACAAAGGATCAGTTGGTAACATAATGAACAAATTGACAAATTTTGATAATTTATATTCTTAAAAACATAATTTTTACCAATTTCTTTATTTCATTAATAATGTTGACAATAAGCTTTCTTTGATCATTTATATTTACATTTGCTTCATTTTCATTATTTTCTTCATCACAACCATCTAAATTAAAATCATTCATTGCTCAAGTGTAATTGAATTATTTACTATTACAACGTGGCAAAATCAAGAGTTTAATCATTTTAACCAATCATAAAGAACTTCTGCTATGCTACAAAAATGTTTGTTTCACTCATTTTAAAATTTTTTTGGATGTTACATATCATAAAAAGAAAAATGTTATTAAAGTAGTGTTGTGTGTTCCTTCTTTCACCGATGATTTTTCAATTCAAAGTTTTCTTCTTCCGTTTTAAACTTTTTTGCATCTAAATACCTTATTATTATAACTTTATCACTGAGTGTAAAACAAGCATACTAGTGAGAAAGTCTCTTATATAAAAATCAAAAAAAAAAATCAAAAAAAAAATAAATATCATGACAATAACTATAAAAAGTATATCGGATGCGAATGGAGGCAATGGAGGAATTCACTATGATGATTTTAAAGATATTATTGCTAATCCAACATATGGTGGTTTCGCCAATATAATAAAAATAGATGTTAAAGGAATAACAGACATTAAAAGTGATGATTATTTAGAATCTATCCGATTTGTCTATAATGTAGTGACAAAAAATGGAATGTCATATGAATATCAGGGTACTAAGCGGGGACAAGGTTTATTCGGTCTTGATCAAATGCCATTTGATTTTGCTGGCAATGGGGGGTTGACAGAGATAAGAGGCAAACTTGAAATTCTTACCGGTGGAGCTACAATCATAAAATACTTGATGTTCAAAACACCAAAACAAACACTTGGTTACGGTAAAGATGACCCGGCAAAGCAAGAATTTGTTTTGCCTTCAGGTGTTATCTTTGGTAATACTGGTTCTAATGTTGATTCTATTGGAGTATATGAGATTGCAGAAGAAGAACAACTAGTCAAGACTGTAACATCAACAATTATTGAAACAATAACAGGATCTACCTCAACAGTTCCTTCTGTAATAACAGTAACTCCCTATGCTGCAACGGAAACGATATTTGTTGATAATCCTCAGACAGTTATTGGTCTCAGTATTCCCTTAGCAGCATTAAGTGTAATAATACTTACGACTTTGTAT